GCCGCCGAGGGCGCGGCGGCCACTCACTCACCGAGCCGCGGTACTTCTCCAGCGACACCAACTTGCCCCGGATGTTGACCGCCTGGAAGTCGTAGAAGTCCGGCTCCCGCTGCGCGCAGGCCGCGGCCCACAGGAGCAGCCACGCCGCCGCCCCGGCCGCCACCATGACTCGCTCCCGAGGTGGCGGCGATCGAAGGGAAGACCAGCCGGGGGGGGGGGGACCGGCGCGGGGGGCGGGAGGGGGCGGCCCCGGCGCGCACGGGCCGCGAGGCAGGACGCGCCCCCTTCTCGCTCTCCTCCGCCGGCGGTGGCGCGTCCGAGGGCCTGCGCTGGACCTCAGTTTCCCCATCTGCACTGCGGGAACGCTGGCCTCGGCCTCCCTTTCCCCCCGCCCGCCGGTCCCTGAGCCCAGAGTCATTGTTCACGGGATTCTGACCACTGAGACTGTTACGCGGGGAAGGGGCGCAGCTCTCGGCGTGGGGCGATGGGTTGGTGGCGACGACCCGGCTCTTGCGTTCAAGTTTGCGAAGGGTTCTCAGACACCCAAAGTAGCACGACCAGCGAGTAGCTTTATTGAGCAAAGCCGAGTCCCATCTCAAGAGGGGAGAGTGGGCAGAAACAGCCTACGGGAGCTGCTGCTTCTGCCGCTATTGTTGAGTTTTTGTTTGTTTGTTATTTTTTTGAGTCGGAGTCTCACTCGGTCGCCCAGACTGGAGCGCAGTGGCACGCTCGAGGCCACCGCAGCCTCGACCTGCTGGGCTCCGGCGATCCTTCCGCCTCAGCCTTCCAAGTAGCCGGAACTACCGGCGCGCGCTACCACGCCCGGCTCATTTTTCATGTATTGTAGAGCCGAGGTCTCGCCAAGTTGCCCGTGCGGGGCTCGAACCGCGGGCTCAGGCAATCCACTCGCCTCGGCCTCCCAAAGTGCTGGGATGTTGAGCTTTAACTTTTATTCTTAGAGGTACTGAGGGGCGCTTTCTGGGGTGGTCTTTTCCTAGAAATGGGTGGTCTTTTAGGCTGAATTATTGTTACTTCTCACATCGGTGGGGGAAGTTTTATACCTTATAGGGTCAAACCGATACTGTCAATGGTCTTAGGTGTATAATGGAAGTGGAAGGCTCTCCTAGGGTAATTTTATGCTAATAGTGCTATAATGAAAATAAAAGTAGATGATTATTTTGCAACAACTCTGGTTATTGATGCATATGCTCCAGGTGGTTTCTAAGTCCGTTCCTGTTTTGGTGGTCCACTCCCGACTCAAGCATCCTGGATAGAGGGTACTACTGTGCTGCAGGTCTATCTGATAAGAGTCTAGCCCTTGGGTAGGTGTGAAGTTTTATATGGCTAGGCTGCTTTGCTTGTGTACGTGATTTTGTAACAGCTGCTGTTGACATCAATAAGCTTGGAAGTTTTCTACAGCCCTAAAGGTTTCCTAGTCTAACCTGTCTACTCTATCAAGACCAAAATTCCTTTCAGAAAGGTTCCCTCTTGTTACAGGATGCAGCGTCTTGGTAGGGAAAGAGGGAGGCAAAAAGCTGGGTCTGAGAACCCAGCTTGTCGTTCACTACTCCGGGCCTCAGTTTCTTCACCTATTTAGTGGAGCTAGCCTCCCTTCCTGATCTACCTAGTCACTACAGAATGGGAGTGATAGAAAAATGGATGTGAGGGTGGGGTGTGGTGGCACATGCCTGTAGTCCCAGCTACTTGGGAGATTGAGAGAGGAGGATTGCTTGAACCCAGGAGTTTGAGACTAGCATGGGTGATATAGCCAGACCCTGTCTCCAAAAAGAGAGAGAGAGAGAGAAAAATGGATGTGAATACGTTGACATTTGGCTAGTGCCTACAAACCTTGGGTAAATTAATGTTCCCCGAAAGTGACAGCTGGGAGGAGGGGAAGAGGGCCTATTACAGATTGGGTTTCTGGGAAGCAGATTCTGAGATGGAGATTGGAGTGCAAGATGTTTTGGGGTCAACACTTGTGGAAGAGAAGGGCGGGAACAGGACTTGCAGAAAGAGAAGTCGAGAGCTTCATGCTAGCCCATGGACAGTCTTGGCTGAACCAACAGGGACTCTGGAGCTAGAGTGACCCATCAGAATAACTAAGATGAGCTGGGAGTGGTGACTCACTCCTGTAATTCCAGCACTCCGAGAGGCCGAGGTGAGAGAATTGCCTGAGTTCAGGGGCTCGAGACCAGTCTGGGCAACTTGGTGAGACCTTGTCTCTACAGTAAATCAAAAAAATGTAGCCGGGCGTGGTGGCACATGCCTGTGGTTCCAGCTACTTGGAAGGCTGAGGCAGAAGGATCGCCTGAGCCCAGCAGGTGGAAGCTGCAGTGGCTGTGAGCATGCCACTGTACTTTAGTATGGGCGACAGAGTGAGACTCTAACTCAAAAAAAAAAAAAAAAAAAAGGAAGAGCTAAGATGGCCAGGTCTTTATACTATTGCCTTCATTAGGTCTTGAATATGGAGTCATCTGGGAAGGGGTGTGACCAAAGATGGCTTTATCTCTGGAAGGGCTGACAGTTAAAGGCTTAGTGTTGATAGCATTCCCAACAGCTGGTGTCCAAATCCTTCACTGATGGGGATCTGGGCAGCATGTGACAATGTCTCTCTTGTTCAGAAAACCCCTACTGAGACCACGAAGTGTCAGGCATCGGGCTGAATACTGACTTTATACCGGTCCTCCAGAAACTCACAGGCTGATGTTAGAGAAGATTTCATGCACCTGTAGTCCAGCTACAGGGACTAAGAGTAAGCACTCCTGCAGTTGATGTCGGGAGACCCTTAACCCAAGTGGAAGTGGAGCAACCTGTATAAATGTGTGTTATAGTACAATTCTGATGACTTTGTTACATTTATTTTTCTATAAAATATGTGAATTATAATAAAAGTTTTTTTGACTTGGAAAAAAAAAGAATAACCACTCCTGTGGTCATTCAACACACACCGTGGTCATTCAACAAACACTGTGGTCATTCAACAAACACTTCTGGAGCACCTGTCCTATGCTTGTTCTATGCCAGGTTTTACTTTAGGTGCCTTTTAGGCGGGGATGAACAAGACAGGTATGGTTCCTATCTAGGAAGAGACAGACATAAAATAATTCATAATTAGCTCTAAAATTATAACTGCAGTAGGTACCATCTAAACCAGCCTGGAGGGGGAGAGGCATGGGGCAAGAAAGACTTTCCAGAAAAAGGGAAATTTGAGCTGAGCTCTGAAGAATTAGTAGAAACCAGCTAGGTTGAAGCAAGGAGGCTAGTGCAAAGGTCCTGGAGCAGCAGGCTCAAGGGGAGAGAAAGCTGGTGCGCCGAGAAACAAAGGAGGCTGTTTGACTGGACAGAAAGAACAAAGGAGCCGGGCTCGGTGGCTCAGCCTGTAATCTCACGGCTTTGGGAGGCTGAGGTGAGTGGATTGCCTGAGCCCGCGGGTTCAAGACCCGCCTGGGCAACTTGGCGAGACCTCGTTTCTACAATCAATCAATCAATCAATCAATAAGCCGGGCAAGGTGGCGCATGCCTGTAGTTCCAGCTACTTGGAAGGCTGAGGCAGAAGGATCGTTGGAGCCCAGCAGGTCGAGGCTGTGGTGGCTGGGAGCGGCCACTGCACTCCAATCTGGGCAACAGAGTGAGACTCCAACTCAAAAAAATAATAATAATAAAAAAAAGAACAAAGGATGAGAGGAAAGGGTAGAGAGGCAGGCAAGAGTAAAACTGTTACAGACTGATCAGGTTCTCATGCCTGCTGCCCAGAAAAACCAAGACTGACAGCAACTGTTACAGTAGAGAAAGTTTAATACCACAAAGCAACTGAGCAAGGAGGACGGGAGACAGTTCTCGCATTTGTCTCCCCAAGAATTTTAGGCTATGGTTTTTTAAGGAATAATTTGATGGGCAGGGGGCTAGGAAACAGCCACTGCTGATTGGTTGAGGATGAAGTCATAGGGAGTGTCAAAATTGTCTTCATGAACAGAGTCTGTTTCTGGGAGGGAGGTCACAGGACTGGTGGAGCCAGCTCCTTGGTATGTGTCCAGGTGGGGCTGCGGGCCCATTGGTGTGCAAAGTCTGAAAAACATCTCAAATACCATTCTAAGGTTTTATAATAGCTGCTGTCTATAAGGCAATCTGCTACTGACCTCTGGGCAGTAAGCCATTATAGAGAAGATATGCAATAGGTGGGCTCCATTAAAGCTGCCCATGCTCTTTAGTCACCAAACTTTAGGTTGCCATCAAGGAGATCTGTGAGGTCTCAGGCTCGTGTTTAAGGCAAAATATGTTTATCAGCCTCAGGACAGATTCCCCATTCCCTATGGTTCAGAACAGAAGATAATTGCTTTATTTTGAAGTGGAAGCAAATTTAGAAACAACAGATTTGTTCATTTCTACCCAGAGCTGCAACTTTGCAGGGCTTGGGTCTCTTTCATAGCTTTCACCCGGTGGCCCTATACTGATTTCATATAGGTGGTTTCAAGATCACATAGAACCTGGTAGGCCACAGTAAAGACTGTGACCTTTAGCCAAGCACGGTGGCTGTAATCCCAGCACTTTGGGAGGCAGAGGCAAGAGAATTGCCTGAGTTCAGGGGTTCAAGACCAGCCTGGGCAACTTGGCAAGACCTTGTCTCTACAATAATTTTAAAAAATTAGTCAAGCGTGATGGTGCATGCCTGTGGTTCCAGTTACTTGGAAGGCTGAGGTCAAAGGATCGCCTGAGCCCAGCAGGTTGAGGCTGTAATGGCTGTGAGCGTGCTGCTACACTCCAACCTAGGCAATAGGAATGAGACTCCGACTCAAAAAAATAAAAAGACTATGACCTTTAAACTGAGAAATGATCCAGGTTCGGTGGCTCATACCTATAATCCCAGCACTTTAGGAGGTCGAGGTGAGAGGATTGCCTGAGCCCACAGGTTCAAGACCAGCCTGGGCAATATAGTGAGACCTCTTCTCCACAATAGATCAGAAAATTAACCGGGTGTGGTAGCGCGCCGCCTGTAGTTTCAGCTACTTGGAAGGCTGAGGTGGAAGGATCGCCTGAGCCCAGCAGGTCAAGGCTGCGGTGGCTGAGAGTGTGCCACTGCACTCCAGTCTGGGCGACAGAGTGAGACTCCAACTCAAAAAATAAAATAAATAAAATAAACTGAGAAATGAGGATTCTTTTTTTTTTTGAGTTGGAGTCTCACTCTTTCACCCAGACTGGAGTGC